TGCTGCTGCTGCTGCTGCTGATGCTACTACTTCTAATCATACTGCTTAGGAAACTGGTGCGAATAGTTTTATACCAGTAAAACTACCAAGACTAAGTATATAATTATGGAGAAGAAGGGGAGGAACGGGAGGACATATGAGGACGATGGCGAGGAGGAGCAGGAGGAAGAGGAGGAGGAGGAGGAGGATGAGGAGGATAAGGAATAGGAGGAGGAGGAGGAGGAGGAGGAGGAGGAGGAGGAGGAGGAGGAGGCTGGAGGAGGAGGAGGAGAAGGAGGAGGAGAGGAGGGAGGAGGAGGAAGGAGGAGGAAGGGAGGATGGGGGACGGGAGGGGGAATGGAAAAAGGGGAGGGGTAGGGGAGGGGGGAAGGGGGAGGGGGAAGGGAAGAGGTTTGAAAGAGGAAAGAAAGAGAAGGGTGGAGGTGGGAAAAGGGTAGGGGGGAGGGGGGGGGGAGTGGGGAAGGGGGACGGGGAGGGGGGGGCGGAGGGCGAGGGGAGGGGGAGGTGAGGGGGATGGAGGGCGAGGAGGGGAGGAGAAAGAGGAATGAGGAGGTGAATGGGGAACTTTTGATGCTGATCTCTTAATGCCTGAATGCTGATGCTGAATGCGATGATCTGTCTGCTGCTGCTGCGATGATGATGAATGAGATGATGATTGGTGATGAGGATGATGATGATGAATGAGAAAAAAAATGATGATGATGATGCTGATGATCATGATGATTGTGATGCTGCTGATGCTGATGCTGATGATGAAAATGATGATGATGATGATTCGATGATGATGGTATGATGATGATGAACGATGGATGATGCTACCGATGATCGATGAGATGATGATTATGATGAGGCTGGATAGCTGTCTGATGGTTAATTATGCTGATGAATGATGAATGGATGATATGATGGTTTGGTGGTGGTGGGGGTCGTGGTTGGTGGTGGTGATGATGATTAATGATGTTTGATGTGATAAGGAAGATGGACGAAATGGATGATGCATATGATGATTGATGATTATGAGATGATGATTGATGATGATTGATGATTGATGATGATGATGATGATGATGATGATGAGGAGGAGGAGGAGGAGGATTAGGAGGAGGAGGATGGTGTAGGAGGAGGGAGGAAGAGTGGGAGGAGGCAGGGGGGAGGGGGAGGAAGAGGAGGAGGGGTAGGAGGAGCAGGAGGCGGAGGAGGAGGAGGAGGAGGAGGAGGAGGAGGAGGAGGGGGAGGAGGAGGAGGAGGAGGAGGAGCAAGATGCGGAAGACAACGAAGAAGGCGCAGACGACGAAACAGACGAAAAAGGTTAATAGTAATCATAGTATTATTATGTTTTTTAGTCATAATCATACTCATAATCATACTACTACTAATTATTAAACACACTGACACTAACAATAATAGTAGTGTTAATAATCGCACTAGGAATAATCACAATACTATTACTAATAAGAATATTCATACTACTATTAATAATACTACCAATATTCATATGAATAATAATAACTAATAATAATGGTATTACTGATACTACTGATAATACTACGAGGACGACAAATGAGAAGACGAATGCGAAGCAGACGAATAACAAAAACGACGAATACTAACCATACTAATGAGACTATTAAGCAAACTACTAAGAGGAGGAGGAGGAGGAGGAGGAGGAGGGGGATGAGGAGGAGGAGGAGGAGGAGGAGGAGGAGGATGAGGAGGAGGAGGAGGAGTATGAATCGGAGTAGGAGTAGGTGTATGAGTAAGAGTCGGAGTAGGGTAGGAGTAGGAGTAGGAGTGGGAGGAGGAAGAAGAGGAGGAGGAGGAGGAGGAGGAGGAGGAGGAGGAAGAGGAGGAGGAGGAGGAGGCGTTGGAGGCGTTGGAGGAGGAGGATGAGGATGAGGATGAGGAGGAGGAGGAGGAAGAGCAGGAGGAGGAGGAGGAGGAGGAGGAGCAGGATGAGGAGCAGGAGGATGAGACACACCGCCTCTTGACGCCCTGGCGGGACGCTCTTTGGACGCTCTTGGACACTCTTGGGGCAGTCTTGGGGCCGGCTTGGGGCCCTCGTGGGGCCCTCTTGCGTCTCTTTTGGGGCCCTTTTTGAAGCCCTGTGATGCTTCTTGGGGCCATCTTGTAGGGCGTCGATCCAAGAAGGGGGGGGTCCCCGGTTTGCGTCCCCCCCCCTGGGGCCATCGAAATTGCATGTTTTGGGACCTCTTGGGCCCTCTTGGGCCATCTTGGGGCCATCTTGGGGCCTCAGAAGCGCATCGGAAGCGAAAAGGCGAGAATGCGGGCATCATTGATCATCCATTGGGGTTTGCAGGATGTTGGACCCTCGGGGGGTCCTGAGGGGGCTCCGAGAGAACTTGGAGCCGCCTTGCGGCCCTCGTGGGGCCTTTTGTAGGTATGTCGGAAGCTATCTTGAACAATCTTCGGCTATCTTAAGCCGCCTTGGAGGCCCTCTTGGAGCCACCTTGGGCCATCTTGGGCGCCCTGACACTTCACGCCCACCCCCCCAACAAAAACCTCAGGGAGGGGAGCGGGAGGATACGCCCCCCCGAAGGGAAGAGAGTTTTGGAAGAGGAGCTATACCTGAGCCCAAAGGGCTGGTGGGAGTATCTAGGAAGCGCAAACGTGGACTAAGGCGCGTGGATTAGCTACGGGCTCCGTTTCCAGACGTAATCAGCGCGCTCCGTCGCAGACTCAGGCGGCGTTGGCGCCATGCTTCAGGGCGTACTCCCCCCAATCTGTGCTGGCGTGCGCCCGACTTCAGCGCAGAAGCAAAAGCCTGCCAGCAAAGTACCCTTGGGGGCCCAGGTTGGGACCCCGCCGCGGTGCCAGAAGCTCACCACCCACCAAACCACCCCAAGCCTACCCGAAGGCTCGAAATCACCATCGATCTCCAGTGGGGGTGGGGGTCGGGGAACGTTCGAAAACGCACGTGGAACCCGTACCCCTCCCCCAACCCGAAACCTGGGTCCTCGGGTTGGGCTGGGGTGGTCTGGCGGGTAGTCAGAAGCGGCTGCCAGCTGCTCGGGCGGACGGCCCAGGCTGCTCACCGCACCCGCCGCGGTGCCCGCGGCGGCCGCAGGTCGTGGGGTGGGGGCCCGGTCGAGCGCCGCACGGAGAGGGCCTCGCCCTCGGCGGTGCGCCCCCTCGCGGCTGCCTCGAGCTCTGCACTCCGTCGTGGCCGAGCACGGGGTGACCTCCTCCTCCTCCTCCTCCTCCTCCTCCTCGTCCTCCTCCCCC